CATGGGATCATAGAATCATGGGATCATAGAATCACAGAATCCCAGAATCAGCGGGGTTGGAAAAGAGCTCCGAGATCATGGAGCCCAACCCTCAATCCAACCCCGCCGTGGTTCCCAGCCCATGGCACTGATGCCACATCCAGTCTGTCCTTAAACACCTCCAGGGAAGTGACTCCACCCCCTCCCTGGGCAACCCATTCCAAGGTCTAGCCACTCTCTCTGGAAAGAATTCCCTCCTGATATCCAACCTAAACCTCCCCTGGCACAGCTGGAGGCTGAGCCCTCTTGTCCTACTGCTGGTTCCTGGGAGCAGAACCCGATCCCACCCGGTTCCCCCTCCTGGCAGGGAGTTGTGCAGAGGGATGAGGTCTCCCCTGAGCCTCCTCCTCTCCAGGCTGAGCCCCCCCAGCTCCCTCAGCCTCTCCTCATGGGAATTGTGCTCCAGACCCTTCTCCAGCCTCATTGCTCTTCTCTGCACCTGCTCCAGCCCCTCCATGTCCTTCCTGAGCTGAGGGCCCAGAGCTGGGCACAGATGGGAGGAGAGCAGTGCCCTCTCCGGTGTCCCCAGCAGTGACTCACTGCAGAGGCTGAGTCAAACCTGGGTTATTTTTGCTGGAGTCACAACCAGTCCTCAGAAAACACAATTAAGGGACATCAGTGGAACGAGCAGCCACGTGTCAATGGAGCCCCTGGATTCAGGGCACAGCATCTTCTTCGCCTGGAGTAAAACAGGTTCGCTGTGACCCCTTTCCTGGAGATTTCCTTGTCACACGTGTCTGAAATGCAGGCAGGGAGCCAGGGAAAGGCACAGGGTGCTCACTTGTGACCCCACATAACTTCACTGAGGGGCTGTGTCCTGAAAGTTGAGCCAACAGGCTAAATCTTGGTTAAATTACAGCACCAGCTGTAAAAAAAAAACGTAATTTTTCCCTGCAGAAACCTCCATAAAAGAGCTCAAACCTTATTTGGGCAAATTCCAACAGTTCAAGAAAAGTGATTCCCAGCTGGGTTTCAAAAGGCCTCAGGAGTTCCACATCCCAAACCAACCCCTGCTGGAACTGTTAGTGCTCAGGGTTTGGTTTTGTTCCTCCAGGGGCCAAGAGGTCCTAAACTGGACACACAACAACCCAGGTTTTACAAATCCTGTGTCTTCTCTTCCAGCAGAGCTCTGAAGTAGCTGGATCGCCCCACTTCCCAAAAAAAATCAAGATGGCTTTTGGGAGATCTAAAGGAAACTTCCCTCCCCATCAGGAAAGATTTGGGTGGGTGGAAAGCCCACCCAGTTTTGGATTAGGGAATTTTTAGGGAAACCATCTGCTGTGCACCTGAATATTGGCACAGGAATATCAGGCACGGACGAGACTGGAATTGCACAACAGGAGGTTCCAACAACGTTATCTCCTTTTTACTTTGCCACATCCAACTTAATCAAACATCAGACAACTCATCAGACTGTTAAAAGAATTAAAAATAATTTAGATGCATTTTTAAGGACTGAAATCACAGAAACCATGGAATAGTTTGAGTGGGAAGGGACTTTAAAGTTCATCCTGTTCCAACCACTGCTGTGGGCAGAGACACCTTCCACTATCCCAGGTGGCTCCAAGTCCTGTCCAACCTGGCCTTGGACACTTCCAGGGATGGGGCAGCCACAGCTTCTCTGGGAAAGTTGTGCCAGGGCCTCCCCACTCTCCCAGCCATCTAATCTTTAATTTAAACCTACTTTATTTCAGTTTGAAGCCATTCCCTGTGTCCTATCCCTCCAGCCCTTGTCCAAAGTCCCTCTCCAGCTCTCCTGGAGCCCCTTCAGGCACCGCAAGGGGCTCCAGGGTCTCCCTGGCTCCTCCTCCTCTCCAGTTGAGCACCCCCAGCTCTCCCAGCCTGGCTCCAGAGATCTCCACCAAAGGCTTGACATCGCAGCCCGAGGAGCTGCAGGGACGCACGTCCTGGAGGGACCTTTCTGGCCACCCGCCTTTCCCAGCACATCCAAGCTCTCCTTGGGGCTCGTTCCCTCATTACCAGTCAGCTCCCGGCTCCGGCAGGTGCTCAGCCCCGGGAGCCGAGCGTGAGTCACGGCGGCAGCTCCGTGTGCCCGGCGCCTCCAGTGACTCACGGGTCAGGTGAGAGGAGCGAACTGCTGGGGAGCAGCAAATTCCCATTCCCATGTGCCTTTTTACACCTTCCTGCCTGATTGTCCTCAGCCCAGGCAGCTGCAATCAAGCCAACGCTTCTGTCTGATGGGAGCAGCTCCCAGAGAAAGATGGATTTCTCCGGGGGGGGAAAAAAAAGGTGTCTCACGGTGATTCTTTAGCGGTAATTGCAAAGCTCCTCCTGAAGAAGAAGGGAAGCTTATCAGCAAGTCCACAACCTGGCTTGACATGCATCCAGAAGGGCCCAGAAAGCTCCTAAGTGGTGCTCTCAGCTGAGGAAAATTAAAACTTCTCAGTCATGTTGCAAACCCTCTCCAAAACAAAGATCCCCTCCGGCTCCGCGATTCTTCACTCGTTCCTTGGCCAACTTATTTCTCAGGCAAAGCAAAGCACCCCAAGCAAAGACTTCTGTCTGAATACTCTTAAATGTTTATTACCCCAAGAGGGAGGTGCTGCAGAAATATTAAACACCAGCAGCACTTTCTCAGGGAATTCATTTCCTTCCTTCACTCACGACAGTCTCTACGAAAGCCTCGAATTTTCCTTGATTATCCTTTCAAAAATCCCACTTTTTGCTGGTGAACTCATGTATTTATCTGCAAGAAAGACTGAGGACAACTCAGAATAGTTGGAGCTCTCCAAGGGCCACCACAGTCTGAGGATTTATTTCTTTATCCAGACTCGCAGTGCCCGTTCCTGGTGAGGAACAGGATCGACCTCCGCGACCGGCTCTGGTTGGAACCGCACGGAATCACATCCTTTTTATCAGATTAACTGGGACCAGAAGCCACAGTGGGCTGACCAAGACAAAGTATTATAAGAAGAAAATTGAGAATTACGTCAAGAGGAGGATGTCAGATTGATGAGTCCCTTCAGAGCTGCTCAGTTCAGACCCTGCAGGTCAGTGTGTCACTGTCACCGGAAAGACAGCCTTGGACACGGAGCAGGGCCCGAGCTTAGGACAAAGAAAAGAAATTACTGGCCAAAAGGGGAAAAAATAATGGACAAAAAGGCAAAAATTGTCGTCAGAGTTAGGTGGATTTGGGCTCTGAGCAGCCTGGGATAGCAGGAGGTGTCCCTGCCCTTGGAACGAGATGAGCTTCAAGTTCCCTTCAAACCCAAACCCCTCTGGGATTCCAGGGTTCTGTCACAACATCTAAAGCTAAATAAGGATTTGCACAAGTTTGAAATATGTCCAGGCTCCCAGAATCCCATTAAAAATAAGGGGTGAGAGAGCCCAGATCTCAGGTTGCTGCAGAATGCACGACATAAAACCTGTAAAATCCTGTCCCTCTCCCTCATCCCTCACGGCCTCTGCTGATGGAAGGAGTGAGGGAGATGAATCCTCACACACACACAGAAATAAATACCAACCCTGACTGCTTATTTCAAGTGTCACTGACAATCTCAAAACAATGCTGCAGCGACACAGTAAAAGAGCTAAACTCAAGAAGGGCTGATTCATTTGAAGCCCATTTTCTCGCCTCTGGAATATCTGGGAAGTGTAACTTGAGTAACTCCCACATAATTCCATTTACTGAGCATTTAAAGTTGAGTTTTATGTTAAAAATATAAGCCTTTATTTATCTGCTGCAAGAGCCCACACGTTGTCAGGGCAGGTTTTGTCACACTCCCGTGTGTTCTGACTTCAGAGTCACTTTGGGTTTGCAGCACTTCAAACTCCCCGGTCACACGGTCTGTGGCGTAAACAGTCCCCTTATTAATCTGCAGAGCAAAGGCCAGGCTGCTCAAAAAATTATTTTAGGCCCAAGAAAATTAGCTGGACACCTGCAGCAAGGGGAAAAAAAAAAAAAAAAATTAAAATATGGACTAACCACCTCCTGAATCACGGCGTTAATTCGGGCAGACAACCTGCAGCCACCACATCCCTCTCCCTGTGTGTGTCCTTCAGTGCTCACAGCCAGGGCACCAGAGCAAAGGAAAAGCAATTCTTTTCCCAACTTGTTGTTTTATCTTGGTAAAATCCACTCGGGAAGAGCAGCAGAGCACTTTTTTGTTTGGTCTTTTGAGCGACAAGAGGAAAAAAAACCGAAAGAGAACCAGCAGAAGCGTTTGCTGCCCTCCAGAGGAAAACCGAATTATGTTACAGCTTTAAAACACAAAGGCAGACATGAAACACTGGTCCTGCTCAGTTCTAAAATCACTTTTTTCTCTTGTGAATAACGTATCAAGGAAAACCCATTGCACTGAACAACGACAAGGCAGCAAAGTGGGGGATTCTCCCCGAGTTTTAACAGCTCCAAATCATCAAATCCCTCCTTTTCCTCCTCAGAAACGCACTGAAAAGTTCTGTATTTCACGACGGGGATGCACACAAATAAAGCAGCCTCTGAGTTTCAGTTTCTCAGCAGCTGTAAAACGGGAAGAGCATCTCCCTGTCACTCCAAAATGCTGCATTTGAGACTGCAAGGGGCTCGGAGCTCGGAGCGCTGACGCTCTCCGGGGTGAGTCATTCCTTACGGGAGCTGACGTCTGGCCTCCCTCAAAAAGGCAGGAGCAGCTCCCCTTCCCAGCTCCAGGAAATAAATCCCATGGCAATGGCATTCGTCACAACTCCCCAGCAAGGTGATGAGGCAGAAAAGGCACAAGCCCACCAGGAATGCCAAGGAATTAGAAGGAGTTCAGCGATTCCCACGTGAGGGGGTAGATAGACCGGAGGGGGGGGGGGGGGGGGGGCTTTTTTCTGCGGGGGGATAAAAATTTTCTGTCCCTGAAATCATACCTGGATAAACTTTCCCTTAAAAAAAAAAAAAAATAAAATTCTCTTCAGTGTTTTCTGCTCTTACACAGATCTGAAACAATTCCCTGAAGGAAAAGCCAGGTTCTTACCTGACAGCCTCCGCCACGTTGTTGGAAGTGTGACCCGACAGGGCGTCGTGCAGGTTTCTGATGAAATAATCTCTGTATTCCTCAGGCAAAGCCATGAAGGTTCCACCCATCACAATAAACTCCACTTTATCCGCGCTGTGGCCCAGTTGCTTCAGCTGGAAAATTAAAGGTATCATGGAAAAATTGCTGTTTTGTTTGTGTAAAAGACAGCAATTGAGCCCCGATTTTCTTACACCGCGTTTTTCCTTCTTGAGCTGTTGTGTCTTTTAGGGATGACAAACCACTGATATTTCTGTCTAGATTTCTTGTAAACCTTCTAAAAAAAAAAAAAAAACCTCAAAAGTCATTTTTCTGCTGCAAGAAGATAGCGCAGATATCGAGCCCAGTGCAGGGGATTTTCCTGGCAAAGCAGAATGATTTGAGCTGGTGGAGTTAAACTGGTCCCAGTTTGAAACCAGTTTAGACACGGTCAGAAGGAAAAAAAAAAAAAATCCTTACATTTGCCTCAATCCCTGCAGAACCAACTCTCCTTAAAAACTTGAGAGAGAAAAGGACCCCAGTGAATCCATGGAGATTCTTCCAATCCTTTGGAGGTGAACAGAAAACCAGAACAGGACTGAGAAACTCTTCAGATCTTCTGATTCCCCAGAGAAGACTCCAGTAAATTAATTTTGGTAGGAAAGCCACTATTTGAGTACTGAATCCCCAAGAACTAGGAACTACCACAGAGATTCAATAGAATTTTGCTGGAATAGGATCAACAGGATCTCCTGTTAATCATCAGGTGTTGTACAAGATCTTATAAGAGGTTCAAAAGTCATTATTAAAAGGTCTAAAAAGAATTTTTCCACGGGGATCAGGTCAGGCAGAATTAGAACTCAGAGCTGCTGACCACACAGCCCTTCTTCCAGGCAATGAAATAAAAGTCATTATTTTCATCACAACCACAAAGAACTTCCCTTCCCTTTCCAAAAAAAAAAGGTACCTGTTCCACTCTGTGCCGTGTCTGGAGATAGGGATCGTAGCGAGCCCGGATGGCCCTCATGGATGTGGGCTGGAAAACACAAGGAGATGCACTTTGTGAACTTTTTTTTTTTTTTTAAATCACTGAAAAAGACCAAAAAGACAATTTTTTTAGCATTGAAACAGATTCTCCAGCCTTCAAATTCCAACTGACCTTCAAACTCACCCATCTGACCGTAAACACGAATTTGGTTCCTTATATTTGAAAAAAAAAAAATCCAACAAAACACATTTTTGTCCTGAATGGCAACGAGACCTAAGATGAACATCATAATTTTTTCAGTTTTTAGTGCACTACAACAGCTAAAGAATCTCTGTAGTGACTCTCAAAAGTATGACAAAAACCACAAAGTGTTTTTCGAGGCATTTTTTCCCCTCCTGTTCCTTTTATTACCTTTTCACTTGGGCAACTCACCCAAGCAACACCCTCTAGAGCTCAGTCTGGACTTGAATATTCTTCAAATTAAACATATTCCTTCAATTAAAATCCCCAATAACTTACTTTTTCAATTACTAGCTGATGGAAGCCTATTAATAATACCCCAAGAAGGTTTTCAAGGACTTTGTGTATCCTGGATTTTCCTGGTATTTCCTATCTGTTCTATTCAAAGCTCTAAGGGATGAGGACTCTTAATCATGCACAACTCCCACATGCTGGTTTTACTAAAAAAATGATTAAAGAAATTAATACCACAGCCAAAAAAACCCCCCATGAATTATAAAGCAGTTACACATTCCCAGGATTTTCCTGCTTAATGGGACAAGTTTCCAGCCCCTCAGAAGTGGATAATAACAAAATCCCTCCTAAAAGGATGCTGCATCAGTGTTTATCAAATTAATCCAGTTTGTATTTTATCCCATTTGGCTGCTTTACATCCCTGCTACAGTTTTTTATTGTTAAAAGCAGTCACAATAATTTAGCCACAGGATCAGCTGCTGTTAAACTTCCTCCAGACAACAGGAGGGCATTATTTTGGAAATATATATATATATATATATATATATATATATATATATATATATATAAAATATCCCCCTAAATATATATATATATCTCTAATATCCCACTAAATCCCACTAAATAAATATATATCTCTCTAATATTTATATATATCTATCTAATATCCCACTAATATCCCACTAAATATATATATATATAAATATATATATATATACATTTAGTGGGATACTAATGCAGACAGAGAGACAAAAAGGGAATGAATGTAATTTCAGAGGCATCAACAGCTAAAAAAAGGGGTTTTTTTCCCCAAAATTTGTACTTCTTTCAATCCAATCCCACAGGCTGGGCAGGACTGAAAGTAATCCCAGTTAGGACTTGGAGCTCAGAGCTGTGTCTTGGCCATCTTTGAGAAGAGACATCCCAAAAGCTCTCCACATTCCTATGGAAGTGTTTGATGCTTCATGTTAAAATATTCTCACGTGGAGGCACAATTTTTACTCACTTTATTCATTATTTACAGGGATTGAGCAGAATTTCCACTCCTAGAGCTGAGCTGCTTTAGATCTCGAGGTTTATAAAGGCTGGTTTTGGTTTTTATCCTTGCAATTTTGGGTGTGTTTGTAGGAATAAAGAGCAGCCTAACCCCAAGCCATGTTTATGGAGTGTTGGGAATGTTGGGAATGCCTTCCAGCAGACCAAAGCAGTACCTCATATCCAGTGTAAGACTGTGTGGAATATTCAAAATCCGAGTCAGGTCCACCTGGGCAGTATCTGCCAAAGTAAAAGGAGAGAAAAAAGGGATCAAACTCAAACAATTCCAATGAGAGAACCTCCAGGAGAGCTGGAGAGGGACTGGGGACAAGGGGGGAGGGACAGGACACAAGGAATTCCCTCCCCACTGTCAGAGGGGAGGGAGAGATGGGAGACTGGGAAGGGATTCCTGGCTGGGAGGGTGGGGAGGGGCTGGGCTGGAATTCCCAGAGAAGCTGTGGCTGCCCCTGGATCCCTGGGAGTGTCCAAGGCCAGGTTGGAGTGACCTGGGCTAGTGGGAGGTGTCCCTGCCCATGGAACTGGATGATCTTTATGGTCCCTTCCCACTCAAACCATTCTGGGATCCTGCGATTCCATGGAGTTGGAGGATCTCCAGGCTGGGATGGCTCCAGGCTGGGTTTAGAGCCAGAGGCCTCAGAGCCCCTTCCAGAGCCAAAAGGGGCTCCAAGAAAAGCTGGAGAAGGACTGGGGACAAGGGCTGGAGGGACAGGACACAGGGAATGGCTTCCCACTGCCAGAGGGCAGGGAGAGATGGAACATTGGGAAGGGATTCCTGGCTGGGAGGGTGAGGAGGGGCTGGGCTGGAATTCCCAGAGAAGCTGTGGCTGCCCCTGGATCCCTGGCAGTGTCCAAGGCCAGGTTGGATTCCCTTGGAGCAACCTGGGCTAGTGGGAAGTGTCAGGGTTGGAACTGGATGATCTTTGAGGTCCCTTCCCACCCAAACCATCTTGGGATTCCACGATATCCAGGAATGCTGAGGGGAACTGAGCCTTTCCATGTTTACAAACAGCAAGTGCACAGTGCAAAACAGTTGTTCCATCCAATTTTAATGGGAATGGGATGTCAAAAACCAGTTCAGACCTGTCAAATGGCTACACCCACCTCAAACAACCTGGTAAGACTTTCCAGAAGCAAAATATGTTTTAAAAATCTCTTCCCTAATTAGAGGGATTCTGGAACGTGGCATTATTTTGGGGAGTAGCCATGCAATTCTTTGCCAAAAAACCCTCTAATTTTACAATCATTAACAATTCCAGTATTTTCCACCCTTCCATGAAGAGCATAACCTTGTTTGATGGAAAAATATGACCTTCTTTGGCATGGAAAGATGTAAAACAGCAACATCACCCCGTTACACAACCTAATTCACCAGGAATTTATAGAATTTAAACATCTTGATGGTGAGGAAGCTCACCTACATTTGTTTTCTGAGCTTAGGAAAGTGATATTTAACAAACTCAGCATTCTGAGCGCTCAAGGATGATCTCAGACAGGAGGGTTGGCAACTCCTCCTGCTCCAGCTCCAGCAGGAAAGGTAAAAGAGCAGCCAGGGAATTGTTACTTACGGGGCAGATCCCAACTGCACAGACACCACCTCTCAAATCAGGCCCGTCTGGTTCCCAGGATAATTGATGATTTTTCCCCTCTGCCTGCCCTGCAAACTCAACCCAAGTCATCCCTGCCGTCATTATCGACTTAATTACCGGATTACTGAGCCCAAATTAATTGGTTGGCAAAAGTTGTGCGGTGCAAGAGAAGGCACTTCCCACACGGCATCACCCGGAACAGCTCCGAGACCAGCTCACTCTTGTGTCAGCCAATGCACTGGTGTTTTGGGAATGACGAGGTGGGAAGAGGAGGAATGTTTTGGAATGGATGAGCTCATTGGCTTAGGAACAGCACAGAAGGGATTTTAGGTGCCCAAAGTCAAGCAGGGGTGAGACACCTCGAGGAAAACCCAGCCTGTGTTTCTCGGCTCCGATAAAACTCGGAGCTGCTCCCTCGATGCCGGGAGCCCTCGACAGCTGGAGGCCTCTCCTTCCATCTGTGCTCTCCTTCCCTCATTCCAGAGCCAAGGCAGAGCCAGACTGTCCCACCTGCTCCTCCTCAGGTGACTCTCAGCTCACCAGTCTTCAAAATTCCCAGATTTCTCCCAAATTTCTCAGCTCTGTTGCTTTCCTGTAACTCCTCCTCAATCTCTTTGTGTGCCCCAGCACACACAAAACCACCCCTGCACGTCCTAGATTAGTGAAACAACTTATTTCTATTAACTAATACATTCTCCTGGTCACTGTACTCGTGAAACTGTAAATCTCCTGGGGTGTGTTGGGTTTGGTCCATGAAAAAGGTTTGTTCTTTGAAGAAAAGATGAAAATAAGCAGATTATTTTAGCGTGATGCGCAGGAATCAGCAACCTGCAAGTTGGCAGCTGTGCAGAAAGGAAGCTTGTCCCTAAAAAAGGCTCCTGAAATGCTGGATTTAGACAGAAATACTGGAAAATTGGCCTCTTGGGTCACGGAATCATAGAATGGTTAAGGTGGGAAAAGGACTCCAAGATCATGGAGTCCAACTGTTCCCCCAGCACTGCCAAGGCCACCCCTGAGCCATGTTCCCAAGGGCCACATCCACAGGGATTTTAAACCCCTCCAGGGATGGGGCTCCACCACTGCCCTGGGCAGCTGTGACAGTGCCTGACAACCCTTTCCATGTAGGAATTATTTCCAATATCTCACCTGACCCTCCCCTGGCATAGCTGGAGGCTGTTCCCTCTCCTCCTGTCCCTTGTTCCCTGGGAGCAGAACCCAACTCCCCCCTGCTCCCCCCTCCTGTCAGGGAGTTGTGGGGTAGGAAAACGTCCCTCCTGATCCCTCTTTTCTCCAGGCTGAGCCCCCCCAGCTCCCTCAGCCGCTCCTGCTGCTCCAGCCCCTTCCCCAGCTCCGTCCCCTTCCCTGGACACGCTCCAGCCCCTCAGTGTCTCCCTTGCTGGGAGTGTCCCAGAGCTGCCCCCAACCCTTGGAGGTGCCCCAGCAGTGCCAGCACAGGGCACATCTCTGCTCTCATACTCACACACAGATGTTGCCCGTGAAGTTGATGTGTGGGCACCGGTGTGGTTTGCACATCACAGCCACGACCGCAATCTGCAAAAGCAGAGCAGAGAAATGGCAGTCATTGCTCCTGAAGGCACTAAAATAAAGTGCATCTGGGAAGGCTTTGTGTACATGTGCATCTGCCAGGCTATTTTAAGATGTTCTGCGCTCGGTCTGCCACCTAAAATATCTGGGAGTTAACCCCTGAAGGGGAAAAGGAAAATACCAAGGCGTAGGAATCCTATTACTTAAATATTTTCACCTTTCAGGGTAAATTTGAGTCTGTTATAAAAAAAACCAGGTGTCTTACACTGAATTGGATTAACTGCCCTGCTGAAAAGATGCACAATGATGTGGAAACACCTCTTTTTCCTCAGGGGATCTCAGGATGGTTTGAGTTGGAAGGACCTTAAAGCTCGTCCAGTTCCAACCTCGACACCTTCCATTATCCCAAGCTGCTCCAAGCCCTGTCAAACCTGGCCTTGGACACTTCCAGGGATGGGCTGCCCACAACTTCCTTGGGCAACTTTCCGAGGAAGAAACCTCCTCCCAAAGGTTCTAAAAGCAAAATCCTCACGGGCACAACACCACAGAAGAGGCCACCTGGAACGCGGCGATGCCACCACGCGGATTAAACCTCCCGGATGTTCGACATCCCGGTCTTTGGCGGCAATTAAACGGAACTTTTGGATGAGAGGAAGGCAGGACGGTGGTGGAAGGAGGGATGGTGGCCCTGCTTACCCCACTGGCAGTTCTGATGGGCTTGGCCTTCAGCTTGGGCACGAGGACCCTGCGGTACTGGGGCGGGACGGCCGCGATGATCTCGACCAGGCGCGGCTGCGCCGACAGCCCGTACTTGGCCGACGTCCTGGTCTTCAGCCTGAGGGCAGAGACACCTCAAATCAGCAAAAGAGCTCCTGGTTTCCATCAGCCCCACCATGCTCCAGGTGGGCTCTCCCAGTCTGCCTTTTGAAAAGCAAACAGCTGCTCTGGGGATTGAGATACGGAAAATCAACTCCAAACAGAGCTGGCAAGCGACAACCGCCAACAATTTGAGGTTCTAGGTATTTTTCTAAAGGTGGCTTTACCAAACCATTGTGAAAGCTGCCAACAAGCTCTGCCTTGCCCGTTTTCAGTGATTTAGTTCATGCCTTCCATGTGATTAACACACACACAGCCTGTGGCTGAGCTCATCTCCGAGTCAATTCAGGTTTCTCCAGCACCAGCAAAAAGTTTGGAATTATATCATGTCAATGAAGCAGAAAATGAGGCAAATTCAGGTTTTGCTACTCCACATATGTAAAGAAATAAAGAACTTCCTGTGAACAACTTCATGCACAACATAATGCTAAAAACCATCTGATTTAATAATATTCCTATATTAATCTTTCCACTCCCTGTTGGAATTGAGTTTGGGGCTATTGAAGGATGAACCCAAGAGGAAAGACAAAGAGGCAATGGCAAATCCTTGGAGATTTTCATCCATTTTGTACTCTCAGAATTGCCCACGAAGGAGCAAATCACCACAGAATTTACTCATTTTGGTGCCTTTATTACCAGATAATGGCAAGAGAAATGACAGCAGGATGTCAAAATGAAACCTGGATGTCACAGAGTGCACAGGACACATTCGTTTCTCGTGGATCCCCCTCAGTGCCACCCCTGAGGGACTTACTTGTTGAGATCCACCTCTTTCCCCTGCTCGTGGGCCTCGATGAGCTGCTGGATGACGTCGGCGATCGTCATCATCATCAGCTCGGCCTGGCTGAGCCCCCCTGGAATGGGAACAGAGCGACAAACAGGGACAGTCAGGGCTGGGGAATGCTGGGGACAACCAGGGGCAGCTGCCCTGCAAGGCATTCCATGGAGTCCCGGAATGGATTGGGTGGGAAGGGGCATTGAAGCTCATCCACTTCCAAACCCCGACATCTCCCACTATCCCAGGTTGCTCCAACCTGGCCTTGGACACTCCCAGGGATCCAGGGGCAGCCACAGAGTCTCTGGGAATTCAGCCCCTCACCACTCTTGCAGCCAAGAATTCCTCCCCAATCTCCCATCTATCCCTGCCCTCTGCCAGTGGGAAGCATTCCCTGTTTCCTGCCCCTCCAGGCCCTTGTCCCAAGTCCCTCTCCAGCTCTCCTGGAGCCCCTTTAGGCTCTGGAAGGGGCTCCAAGCTCTCCCTGGATCCTTCTCTTCTCCAGGTGAACCCCCCCAGCTCTCCCAGCCTGGCTCCAGAGCAGAGGGGCTCCAGCCCTTGGAGCATCTCCGAGGTCTCCCCTGGATTCGCTCCAGCAGCTCCACGTCCATCTGATGTTGTTCCCCAGAGTTGGAGGCAACTCTGCAGGTGGGGCCTCACCTGAGGGGGGAGAGGGGCAGAATCTCCCCTCCCCTGGTGTGGGATTAGCCCAGGAAACGGGGGGATTTCTGAGATGCAGAGGAACTGCTGTCACTGCTCATCACTCCTGATGTGCAGCATTCCCAGAACAAGCGACAGTCACCACCTCGTCCCACTGCCTGTCTTTTACCTGCAGGACAAACTGCACCTTTTTATCTCAGAGCAACTGCAAAACAACCCAGAAATGAAGCCACTGGAAGTTAAAGACAATTAGTGGAACAATCTGTGCGTGCCTGTTCCCAGTGCATGTGTCAGGGAACAGAAGGTGTTTGGAGAATCATGGAATCACAGGATGGTTTGAGTTGGAAAGGACCTTAAAACTCATCCAGTTCCATGGGCAGGGACACCTTCCACTAGCCCAGGCTGCTCCAACCAGGCCTTAGACGCTTCCAGGGATCCAGGGGCAGCCACAGCTTCTCTGGGAATACCATTCCACTCCTTTACCACCCTCCCAGCCAACAATTCCTTCCCAATCTCCCATCTCTCCCTGCCCTCTGGCAATGGGAAGCCATTCTCCCTTGTCCTGTCCCTCCAGCCCTTGTCCCAAGTCCCTCTCCAGCTCTCCTGGAGCCCCTTTAGGCTCTGGAAGGGGCTCCAAGGTCTTCCTGGAGCTCAGTGTTTTCCTTTGACCCCTTGGAGCCACATCCCACAGGGATAATCTGCTGAGAACCCCAGTCTGGAGCCATCCCAGCTGCATGGAATCACAGGATCCCAGAACAGTTTGGGTGGGAAGGGACCTTAAAAACCATCTTGTTCCACTCCCCGCTATGGACAGGGACACCTTCCACTATCCCAGGTTGCTCCAAGAGAATCCAACCTGGCCTTGGACATTTCCAGGGATGGGGCAGCTGCAGCTTCTCTGGGAATTCCAGCCCAGCCCTTCACCACCCTCACAGTCAGGAATTCCTTCCCAATCTCTCATGTCTCCCTGCCCTCTGGCACTGGGAATCCATTCCCTGTGTCCTGTCCCTCCAGCTCTTGTGCACAGTCCCTCTCCAGCTCTCCTGGAGCCCCTTTGGGCCCTTGGAAGGGGCTCTCAGGCCTCCTCACCCTCACAGAGAGTGCAACAGGAACACTTCCTATGACCAACAAGGTGCATTTATTTCCCCTGGTGCAGCTCTGCCCGAACCAGCCCGTGCTGGGACAGCAGAACAGACAAACCAGACCCGTCAGAGGAGCCCCTGGCAGGGGCACAACCACCCAATCCTCGGGCAAGGTCGGGGCTGGTCCTTCACCCCCCCCCCCCAAAAAAAAAAAAAACAACACGGAGGAGCAGAGCAAGGCTCTCCTCGTGTTCCCACTGCACACACAGAGGGAATTATGGAATCCTTAAGGTTGCAAAAGATCTTTAAGATCATCAACCATTCCCCAGCACTGCCAAGGCCACTCGTGTCCATAAGTGCCACAGCCACAGGGACTTTAAACCCCTCCAGGGATGGAGACTCCACCACTGCCCTAGGCAGCTGTGCCAGAGCTGGAGAGCCCTTTCCATGAAGGAATTGCTTCCAATATCCAATATAAACATCTCCTGGCACAGCTGGAGGCCGTTCCCTCTCCTCCTGCCCCTTGTTCCCTGGGAGCAGAGCCCGATCCCCCCTGGCTCCCCTCTCCCGTCAGGGAGTTGCGGAGAGCCAGAAGGTCCCCCCC